TCCTCCTCCTCCTCCTCCTCGCACTCCTGCGATCCTCGGAGGCGAGGCCCTCTGCTGGAGCTCGGCGGCGAGCGAGGGGGGGAAGCGAGAAGGGGCGGGCCTTTTCAGAAGGCTCCGAAGTCTCCTGGACTCCTGCGAAGTTGTCCTAAACCGTCCCCGAAAACAGAAAAAAAAAACCTCGGAAGTCGCGAGGACTTCGGAGAAGTCCCGCCGCCTTCTGAGGAGGCCCTCTCCTTCTCATTTCCCCCCCCCGCTCGCCGCCGAGGAGCGCCTCGCGTTCAAGAGAAGGCCCGCCCGCCGGGGGAAGGAGGTAGAAAAACGTGAAGTAGGGAATTCTTGGACGGGGGCTGGATCTTCCCCCGCACCCCGAAAGAAGGGGGGAAGAAGGGAACCACTCGATCCCTTAAAGCAGAAAGGCGCCTACAGTGAAAAGGACTATGGGAATCCTGAAATACCTACGTACGACGACCGACGGGAAGGTGTGCCCTGGCCCTTCGCCGCTCAACAACCTGCGCATTTCTCGCGGAACGCCTCGCTCGTCGGCCCCACAGCGTAAAAGCGCACACTGGATCTTGCTGCGCCCTGCTCGCAGAGAAAAGCAGCAGACCCAAGTGCCGCTGCGCAACTGCCTGACTCCTAGACTTTGGGCCACACCGTTGGCAGCCGAGGAGTCCGCCTTGAGAGCATACACGCATCCTTTCAAACAAGGCTTCGGGCAGTCGACTCCGCGAGGCCTGCGCCATACTACACGAGTGCACATCGCACGCAGCAGCAGCGAACTGACGCTGAAACCGATCGCATGATGTGGCCGAGTGGCACTAACCAACATCAGGGCGAAATGTCGTTCCATGCTCGTCCGCGAATATGCTTGTTTCTTTGGCGTATTCGAATGCTTCTTGCCTGTTGGTCGCGTATTCGAATTGCTAGAGCTACTCCTGGGAATGCTTGTTGATTGCCTGGCACGGTTAAACTTAACATCTTCCCTACTGCGCCGCTGCATTGGCATGGTGGCGAGATTTGAGCAGACAGCTGGACGTTTCTCAATTATGGGAGAGACAGGCGAGGACGATTCCCATTCAGGAATGCGGCCGGGGCTCGAGTTTCGCCGTGATCAAGTTGTGAGCACTACTCCCAATAAGGAACGCCGACCTTACATGTTGTTACGAGTTGAGGACATGGCAGATACCAGCGGTCGCATCCGCTGGCCTGTCAGCGTGCCCCAGGAAAACACACTAAAATACTGATTGGAAGAAAGCGATTGCAGCAAATGTGAGCGACGAACAGAAACGTTCTGTTCGTGCTGGGAGCTTACGCGACATGGCATAGCGACATTACGCGGTTACTTACGCGAGCCGCCAGAGCGGCACGCCACATTTCAAGCGCGAGGGCGCTCACGCGCGACCTTGCGCGGGCAGCTTACGCGCCGATGCCGGCGCAAACGAAAGCTGGCGCATTCGACCCTGTTCTCTTCCGTCGCTCATGTGATCTCCGGCCGAATTTGGGGTGCGTGGGGGGGGGGCAAGCCCCCGCGACGGGGTGCGCGCGGAGGCCCGCAGGTGGATCCCGCAGAAGAGGCAGGGGCGCTCCACGTCGAGATCTGTGGCCAGCATACATTCTGCCAGCGTTTCGCACACGAGCGACGCAAATGTAACGAGGCCTCACGCACGAGGACACGGCGACCTTACGCGATAGCGCTTCTTCCCCAAACATCCCGTGTGCGGGTCCTCTTTTTGACTCCGCAGCGCCGCGCGTCTCCTCCTTGGTTTCCTCCCCCTCCTCCCGCTACGTCGTCATCAACATCCTCTTCCCCCTTTGCATGTCGGCACGCTCCTCACACGCTTCGTGGCCCCATAGGGAGCTCAGCTCCCACGAGAGCCACCGTGGCTGCGTCCGCATGCGGCCCCACCCCATGTCGGCAAACCCCTCACACGCTTCGTGACCCGATTGGGATCTCCACCGAAAGCCCCAGTGGCTGCGTCCGAGCGCGACCCCGCCCCATTTCTGCTGACCTCTCAAATGCACCACCGAAACCCACACTGGCTGCGTCCGCATGCGGCCCCGCCACGAGTTATGCAGGCCCCTCACACGCTTCGTGGCCCCATAGGGAGCTCCACCGAATGCCACAGAGGCTGCGTCCGCATGCGACCCCGCCTCATGTCAGCAGACCCCTCAAACGTTTCGTGGACCCATGGGGAACTCCACCGAAGGCCCCAGCGGCTGCGTTCGCATGCGGCCCCACAAAAGTTCGGGTGACGCCTCACACGCGTCGTGAGCCCGTAGGGAGCTCCACCGAAAGCCCCACATGCTGCCCCGCCCCATGTCGGCTGACCTCTCACACGCTTCGTGGCCCCAAAAGGAGCTCCACCGAAAGGCCAAACGGCCGCGTCCGCATGCGGCCCGACCCCCTGTCGGC